ATCATGGAGCGTTACACGCCAGTAAAGAGCAGTCCTGTTTCTTTGGAAAGTTTGTTGTCTCTGATTGTCTCGTTAGACAGGAAAGTTGAAAGGATTGTGCAGGGCCTAGAACGCTCAGGTCTTTTCTGTCAGGAGACAGTAGAAGACACTGGCAAGTTGTCTGATCCTGCATCTGATTGTTTACTGTCGAATGTTAGCTTACCTGTTAGCAAAGACCTTGTTAGTAACGAGCCCTCAGACAGCGTGTTTGATTCGGCTGTTAGCGAAGGAGAGCAGCAGGTTTCTGCACTTGTCAAAAGAAGGCGAAAAAGGGTTAAAAAAGCGCTTAAACCAAAGGCGGACATGAGAGGTCCGTCGGACGCCCATTCCCCCTCCTCAAATTCTACTACTACGGAATCCTTGCAACGGGAAACATCTACGACATTAGAGTCCATAGAAACGGACACTAAACTGAAACTATCGACGTCCACAGAGCGTTCGGTAAATACTCCGCGTCGCGGAGACTCGTATACCGACTGCAGTGTTATTTTCAGAAACGCCACTGAGTCTTCTGCTGCTCGCCCAAAGGACTGTATGCTAGATGACCTTAAGTGGTTTAGAGTATGCATTACCAAACTCCTGCCTCCCGGCTTCCCCGGAGTGACTGTGCGCAAACTAACCAGACTCGGTAACTTGCCAGCCGATAAGTCTCGCCCTCGCTTGTTGCGAGTTGTTCTGTCCACTCCGGAGGAGCGCCAAGCACTTCTGCGTTTCGCCTTTAAGCTCAAGGGCAGTGGTGTCATCGTGCACCCAGACCTCCCTTTGGCGGATAGGCTGAAATTGCGGGAAGCTGTCAAGGATCTTAAAGCCCGCCGTGAAGCAGGAGAAAAGGGTCTCCGCTTGGTGGGTTTTCGGGTGGTGAGCCGGCGGTCCTCTTCCGCCCTACCAGAGCCGGTTCTGGTGGCGCACGATCCCGGACTCACAATGTTAATTCCCTTCAGGTGATCTTAAGCAATGTGCGTAGCCTGCGAAACAAGCTGTGCGAAGTCGGCGCTCTTGTCGACGACTGCCGTCCAGATGTCCTCGCATTCACTGAAACGTGGTTGTCCACCGACGTCACGGACAGTGAAGTGTGCTTGCCAGGCTACGCACTGCTGAGATGTGACCGCACCTCTGATCGGCGCGGAGGTGGTGTTGTTTTGTACGTTAACTCCGCACTTACTGTCTGTAAGACGTATAGTTTCAGATCATCAGAGGGTGATGTTGAGGCACTCGCAGTTAACCTGTGTATTGCCTCCGCGCAACTTAAAATTGTGCTGGTCTATAGAAGCCCTGACAGCGTTGCTAAGGGGCTTGCTGATTTCATCCGCGAGCATTCGGCAAATAGGTGTTTAGTGATGGGGGACTTCAATCTTCCCGACGTTGACTGGCAGAATTTTTCCTGCGGCGCTGTTACAAGGTGTTTGGCTACCGAGCTTCTCGAGCTGGCCTTGCATGCTTCCCTGCACCAATTTGTCGATCGGCCTACTAGATTCATGATGGGTCAAAACCCGTCCCTCTTGGACTTGATCTTCGCTAAATCCATTGATTTTGTCACGGATATTGTATACAACTCACCTTTCGGTGCTAGCGACCACGCATGTCTCTCATTTAAGTGCGCCCTTAGTCGTCAGACTAATGATCATCCCGACCGAGTACCAAATATATGGCGCGCAGACTTTCAGACAATGAAAGCCAAAGCCGCAAAGTCGCCTTGTGTCATTTTGGAAAGTGACGACATTCAAACGGCCTGGGACAGCTTTAAATCATACTTGAGTGAGCTCTCTCTCCCCCATATACCACTATCTGGCAGGAATAAAACTAGGGCAAAGCCACCCTGGTTTGATTCTGCTGTACGCAAACAACTTAACAGACGTGCCAGATGTTGGCGTACTTACTTATCTGCTCCTTCATTATGCACTTTCAAGCGATATCGTGAGGTTCGAAATGCCTGCAGGCAGTATCTACGTGGTGCTCGTCTACAGCATGAAGTAGAGCTTGCTCGTATAGCCTCATCAAACCCGAAACGCTTCTTCGCTTATGTCAAAAGGCGAAGCAACATGAATTCGTGCATCCCAGTGTTGTTTGGCCCGGACGGCACTGCTGTTGTCACGGATCACGAAAAAGCTTGTTTGCTCGGAGAACAGTATGCTGGGGTTTATGTTAGAGAGTCACAGCCGCCGCATATCAGTCTCCAGGCAAAAGTTCCTGAGGGCTCCCACTTGGAGGAGGTTTCTATAACCGAGGCTCAAGTGCTCCGGCTTTTGAGGCAATTAAATCCCAATAAAGCTGCCGGTGGAGATGCTATTCATCCCAAACTGTTGTACGAGTTGGCTGATGAACTTTGCTCTCCGATTACGCATCTTTTTGTGAAGTCTCTACGAGGCTGCTCTCTACCCAAGGACTGGAAGGAGGCTATTGTTTGCCCCATTTTTAAGAAAGGTGATAAGCACCTCCCTGATAACTATAGACCGGTCAGTTTAACGAGCGTGCTGGTCAAGTTATTGGAAAAGCTCGTGAGGGACGCTCTCGAAGGACATTTGAAAGCGTTTGACTTGCTTAATCCTTCTCAGCACGGTTTTCGTAAGGGCTATTCTTGCCTTACTAACTTGTTAACCGCTCGTGAACACTGGGCCGAAGCCGTTGATTGCGGGAAGGCAGTGGACGTGCTGTTTATTGACTTTTCCAAAGCTTTTGACACCGTTCCACATTCGCGCCTTTTGTACAAGCTGAATTCCTTTGGTATTTCTGGACCAGTCTTACGATGGATTTCAGCTTTCCTAATCGGAAGGGAAATGTGTGTGCGGGTGGGTTCAAGCTTGTCCTTCCGCCAATGTGTTCTCAGTGGCGTGCCGCAAGGTTCGGTTCTTGGCCCCCTTCTCTTCACTTTATACGTTAATGACCTACCTGATGAATTGGGTGTGCCATCCCTAATGTTTGCGGATGACTTAAAACTCTGGTTCACGATAGACGAGCCGATTGGTCCACTGACCCTACAGGAGGCTCTGGATAGACTTTGGGACTGGTCAATTTTGTGGCAGTTGCCAGTTAATTTAGGGAAATGTTCCGTTCTACGCGTTGGTCCGAATGACCCGCCGACGCGTTATTTGCTTGGCGGCAACGAGGTACCGCGAGTTCAACTCCAATCTGACCTCGGTGTTTTGCTGTCATCTGACTTCAAGTCCAGTGAACACTGGAAGACAGCTGCTCGTAAAGGCTTCAACATGTTGTGGATGATCCGCAGGTCATTCGGGATCATGACCACCGACATGTTTGTTAGACTATTTTCGGCTTTTGTAAGGCCGCACTTGGAATACTGCGTCCAGGCTTGTCCTCCATGCCTGGTTCGTGATAAGATGGCAGTTGAACGAGTCCTGCGGTCCGGGACGAAAATGGTGTACGACTTAAAGAAGCTGACGTACCCGGAGAGGCTACGTAAGTTGGATATGTTTTCCATGTATTACAGGCGGCTTCGGGGCGACTTGGTCCTTACATATCGTATATTGATGGGTCAGATTGGTCCTGATTTGACTGGACTGTTTCGCCCAACTCGAATGCCAACCCTTCGTGGCCACCCATTAAAGTTGCACAAACCCCGGTCTGACCGGGTTTTGGCAACTTTTAGATTATCGCGTAGGGTTATAGCTTATTGGAACACATTGCCTGCAGACGTCGTGATGGCACCGACGTTGAAAGAGTTCGAGCATCGACTTGACGCTCTCGGTCTGCAGTTTAAAGTCTTCCCCTTCGTGTCTTAAACTTTTCTTCGTCTATTACGGCTTACGCTTCTTTAACTCATTTTAACTTACATTTTAATATTGCCTACGATATTCGATTAGCTTGTCTTCTCCTCTGTTTTCTTTTCTTTACTGACACTACTGTTTTCTTTTATTCTTCACGTGGCCGGCACAGCGGGGACTGCTAGTGCAGGGCACGTGGGCATTGTTTGGTTGACCATATGAATCGTGTGTGTTGCTTTGGCTCTCCTTTGGCACATCAAGGCACCGTTTTCCCTGTTGGATCAACGACGTTTTCAAAGGTGGAACATTCGCGGGATTTTCCTACTGTTCCGGTCCCAATTGAACTTGAACTTGAACTTGACCCACTTGAACTTGAACTAATTGATTAAACACGGTTTGATGCGGTCTTTGTTTCAGGTCCATCAGTATTTCAAAACCTGCCAAGTACGGGTTCAATGAGCCACTAAAGAAGGAATACTCACGGGATAATCCTATCGTTCCAGTCTTGCTTGAACTTGAACTTGCTATTCGCAGCAGCACTCAATGCACGACTTTAGTAAGGCTACGATCCGTAGGACTTGTTAGCGGTATGTCACAAGGGTCTTCCAGGTAGGTTCCTTTATATCCTTATTTGTTCCCTGAAGGTTTGATTGGTATCAAACGGACGCGGAAGTTTGTATTAATTATTTTCGAAAAAATCTCAAGCCGGAGGATGTGAGAGTTGAGTTCGAAACGGATTCAGTAAATGAGAACGGTCTTTCGAAAACTAAAGGTTACTATTTTCGCAGTCACTGAAAATGGGGAAGAGCCACTAAAAACGTTCCACTTACTACATTCTGTCTCGAAGTCAGATTCTTCATTTCGTGTGTCCAGTGTCAAGGTGGAGTTACGCCTGCGTAAGCTGACTGCTGCTCGTTGGGATCGATTGGAATCCGACTCCAGCCTAACGGACACTGAAAAGCGTAAGCTGTATTATTTGACTGATACAGTTTTCTCTGCATCAGTGCTACCATTCTACTGTTAGACTGCTTGACTATTAGGTATGTACATGCCAGCTTCACCGAACTGCAAGCCTTTTAAACGCTTATGTGGCCAGCGGTATCCGGCGCGCAGTCACGCTATTGTTTAGGTTGACCAAACTACACCGAACAAGATTTATTTTGAGCTCACATTTACTCATGTCAGGATACCGGTCATTCGATGTGGACGTGGTGGGATAGTACAACACGCATGATCGACGGACGAAATGAGATTTCGCCTAACCATCGTCCCGTTTCGTATACCACTAAGCGAACGGGACTCCCAACACTTCGACGTGCTGGAGGATTTTTGCGTTTATAATAGAGGAAGTAGGAGCTAAATGGAGCTAGAGAGGGTTTTACGAGTGGGTACCAGGTTAGTCGAGGGATTACGGGACGGACGTACCCCGAGCGTCTACTTAGTTTGGGAATGCATTCAATGCACTACCGAAGGCTTAGAGGAGACCTAATCCTAACCTACCGTATCTTAACTGGAAGGTTGGTCTAGATTTATCTTGGCTATTTAGTCCCGCTAGATTGTCTGTTCTACGCGGTCATTCGTTGAAGCTGGACAAACCGCGGTCCGATCGGATTAGGGCGGAAGTCCGGCTGTCACGCAGAGTCATCGACCGCTGGAACATGCTTCCGGAAAGTGTTATCAGGGAATCTACGGTTAAGGGGTTTGAGCGGCAACTTGACGCTCTTGGGTGGCAACACGAAACTTTTCCATTTTCCTGAGTAACTCGCATCTTCGTACTTCGATTTTCTTTTCTCTACTTTTCTTCACGTGTTGGTATTATTTTCTTATTTAAGTGCACTTCCCTATTCTGTACCTTCGATTTCTCTTCCTATCCTTTGCTTACTTCACGTGACTGCCACAGCAGGGACTGCTAGGGCAAGAAACGTGGGCATTAACTGGTTGGCCAGGGTGCGATACGGGTGTTTCCGTTTTAGATCCATCAATAACTGAGCACTTCATCTTTTCCTGGCTCAACGATCCACTCAAGATGGAACACTCACGGGATTCTCCTATCGTTCCAGTCCCCATCTGAACTGAACTGAACTGGAAATAGCCACTTTTTCAGGTATGTGCATAGGCTGCTTGCTTGTCGTTAGAGGCTGATATGAGTACTGGCCAGGCCTAGCTTGAAGTCCTCTGTCTTATATTTCACTAATACAGAAGGAGAATTTTTCCAACTAGGCACTACCCGATTTAAGAACTTAGCTCTTATATCGAGCATTGGTCTGCTGTTTCAACTTTAGACTATGAGTCGAAGACATCGGTTGGCCTGAGACCCTTCATGACCTTGATTGTCTCCACTAAATCCCTTCTCAATCTGCGTTTCATTGAGTGCACTCCTAAGTTAGCTAACTGTACCTCATGCGGTGAACCTCTTTAGCCTTATACCATTCGTATGGCCTGTTTCTGCATATTCTCAATACGGTTTACATCCTTTTGCAAGGAGGGCGCCCTGGCCTGAACACAGTATACCAAATGTGTTCTGACCACTGCTTTATACGAAGAGTGAAGACCTCTGGCCTGGTACAACTCATACCCCTCCTGTGTCGAAATAACTGTCGTGCGTTGTTAGCAGCATGCTTACTTTTCGCCGACGGCTTGAAGTTATTCGTCACGGTGATGCCATGATCGCGTGCTTTAATAGCACCTTGCATTGTCCGTGACCCTACAGGTGCATTCATTGCCACATTTTCGCCACGGAGTCAAGATTTGGCATTTGTTGGCGTTTAAGAGCAGATCCCATGAATAAGACCAGTTAACAACAGTAGCTCTGTCGCTCTTGCTAACAAACTTAAATCAAGACAAAATTTGGGCTTCTCAAGTAAAGGGGCGAAATTATTTACAGACATAAGAAACAATAGCGGACTGAGTACTGCACCCTGTGAGACCACTATGTGCAGTACCTGTGCCCGAAGCACTATTTCCAACCCAAACACGAAACCTCCTGCGGTAGAGGAACGCTAAAGGCTAGGAAAGCAATTTAGCGTGTAGTCTAAACCAGGTCATCTTTTCTAGCGGAAAGCGGTGGTTTACCGAGTCAAAAGCTTTACTGAAGTCAACATAACATATTTCTTTCGGGAGTCCGTCATCAAGACACCGGGTTATTTCATCAAGGAAACACAGCAGGTTAGTGTGGCATGACTTTTTTCTTGGCAAAGCCATGCTGTGCCGCTCCGATCAAGTTATGGGCAGTTACATGCTCATAGACTCGATCTTTAATAAGCTTTTCCAATAACTTTAAAAGTACGCCAGTCGAACTTACAGGCTAATAAATATCCGGCGATGATTTAGACACAAATAGCTTAACCAACTTAGACTTGGCAGCATAGAAGTTTTCTCCCGAGTCACTGCTCATGGTATCATGTAACTATCGTTCCTAATGAATCAGCGAAGTGCACTAGGTTATTCTTTTTCATTCCTATTGGAATCGCTCCTATTGGACAATGCTTTGGCCATGGCTTCTGAGTTCAGTGTCAACATCTTTAGGTCGATCGTAGACACCAGTGGCTGAATTAAACGTAGAGGTAGTGTACTGTTTATTCAATTGATTCTACCTGTAATTGTCTACATCTGTCTAACAGGATACACCGTCATTTTTGCTCCTCAAAGCTTGTTACTGTTCTAAAGCCAGACTGCGTTACACCTCAGCGCCCTACTTCTGATGCGTTTTGGAGTCCTTTGATCACATGGCTAGTTACCCCAGTGCCTTGCATGTCAGTCTTTGGTTTAAGCATGCGGTTCGTATTCTGGAAGAAATATTCGCTGCTTCGAGTGACGGAGCGTGTAGTGTCGGCCAAGCGACAAGTCGTCATCGTGAATCGTCATTACTTTTGTTCGTCATTCTCTGCGCTAATCGTCCGGGAGTGGTTTATAATTTCTTTATTCACTGTAACACGGGCACCATGCTTTTGAGTGGTGGGTATCAGGGTTTGAGTGCACTATCAGTGTCCTAACCCATGTACAACCACGAATTATGCGTCGTTTTCTTTCTGCGAAAACTGCGCCTTGGTTTCCAGGTTTTCTTTGTCTTCATGCATATTTCTTAGGCCACCGAAACATGTGTGAATCAACATCAGTATACAACCATTAAGTTATCATCAAACTTCGGCCGCCTTCCGCGTTGTCGCTTTATCCACCGCATTCTTTCCTTCTACCGGTATATCTTGCGCCTTTCTGGACTCCTTTGCTATTTTTCTTTCCCAACTTCATCCTAATTGATTTCAGCTGCAGTACGGTTATCAGACCATTTCACTGCCTGCCCATAGCCTGAAGGTAACAAGTTTGTCTTGTAATCCGACGTCGCGGGTTTTGAGCCTGCTTAGGGGCAGGGCGACCCTCGAAGTTTCCTTAGCCTACGTACGACCGGTGGTGGTTACGTGGCAGCGAAGTGTCAGTACTGCGTACGGGCGTACTGCTGACGCCATTTTTTACCACTTCACCCATTGGACTCATACCATAAACTGTTCCTTGTTTGTCACACTGCCCCGTTTCTCTGGCGATGTTCTGCATTTGTCTTTGGACAGATAGATTAACGGGCTGCACTTACACGCAAATTAGACACCCTGTTTTTTAACCCATGATGCGTGTCCAACATTGGCGTCCATGGCTCTCGCACGGCCATCGAACTGCGTCACTTTTGTCACATCGTTGTTGGTTACACTAGTCCGAAGATGCCGATGCAGCAACCATTGGTCAAACTTGAGTGCACATGGTGCTCAACGTGGTGCGACGGTTTGCGTACCTCCTTGACTCATTAAGCTATCCTGGGTGGTGCTTCCTTGCCCTTTGAGAGCTACTCCTACCCGGTTGGTCAGTGATTAGAGGTCAGACAAACTCAGTCTCCTGGTCCCCCAAGTTGGGGGGTTTGAAATGGGATGGCTTCCATTTCTGTAAAATTAAATCATTACCACCACCCTGCTAATTTGCGGACAGGCTTTTGAGCCAAAGGCTTTGGTTGAAGACCCTAATCGTCCTCCCGTCTAGGTCTGGGCTACCTGGCAGTATCTCAGCACACATACAACCATGACTTTTTTCTTCAAACATAAACTTCATCCTGCATTGGCTGTCGCGCAGATTTTCAGTGGTCGCCTTATCTGCTGCGTACAGCAGGGCGGATAAGTGAACACATGCTACTGCTGGCGCCCTCCTTTCTTTGTTTTCCACTTGTTTCCCTTATTCCTATCCCGACCCCCATTACTAATCTTCTATAATTCTCTGCCTAATTGACTGCAACCGAAGTGCCACTGGAGTAGAACTATCTGCAGCCACCTTCCCACAGCACCCATTGGACGCCTATCAGCAACAGTCGCTTATAAGGTCACGCTGTCCAGTTTCCCTGGCGGCCTTCAACGTTCGCACTCTAAGACAAATAGGTCAGCTGGCTGCGTACACACCCACCTTGGACACACTGGGTATTGATGTGTTTGTGTGTCCGAAACCAGGATCAATGACCCTGACGGGATTATTGAATTAACTGCACCCGGCTTATCCTCTCGTTATTGGTTGCACGCATCCAGAGACGCCGATGCAACACTCGCGGGTCAAGCTGGTGTAGGTATCATTCCAAATTCCAAGGCTGAGCAAATGTTGGTTGATTGGATTCCAGTAAAAAGCCGTTTGTGTGCATCCCGTTTGACGACCTCAACTAAAGTTGCTTCACGAAGTACAAAACGTTTGTGATTTCCACTCATGTTCTTACTGACTGCAGTTCTAATGCTGTCTCGAACTGAACACGTTACTACGCAGTCCTACTAGTTTAGATATTATAGTATTTGCAAGGGATATGAACGCACAAGTAGGACGTCTGAGCTCTTCAGAAGCTCAGCTGGATGCTAATTATGAGGTTAAATTCGAACGGACTGACGGCGGCCAGCGTCTGCTGCAACTGTGTGCGGAGCACCAGTTGTTTCTTAGTAGCACTGCT